ATATTCTTCTATATTCTTCTATTTTATCTTCATATTTCACTATATTTACTGCCGCTGCGTATTCAACCTCTACAAAGTCATATTTGTTTTTCAATTAAAATGTGTTTACACGAATCCTGCTGTTGAGAAAAACAAGTTAACAAATTATATTATTAATGGAATAGAATAGAAAAATCCTTTATTCAAATAAACTTAATTTAAGCACTTTTGAATAGTCATCACAATTTTTTTAATCTACCGCTCATTCGGAAAGCTATCTCATCACAAAACGAATGAGTAAGAAACTTGTGCTTGTTGCTCTTTTAAATAATCGTTATAATAATCCTTATATTTTCAATTAATAGCTAGTTTGTATTATTTATTCTTGCGACCTAAAATATCTTGTTGATATTTAACCTCATGTAACATTAAAATTATAAATAAAACATAAGTCCATTAAAGTTCACAAAAACTACTTGATCTATGGCCAAACGACCAAAGCACGTAATTCGGTCACAATCGGGTGGCGGCACATCAAAGTCAACCGGCACCGTCATGGCGTCAAATTGAGTCATACCAAAAAATTTCGGGTTCCCGGGATCAGAAATTACCAAGTAATGGAAGTGGTACCGTGACTTAATAAACCATTCAAGGACACCAGTAGAAAGTAAAGCAAGTTTGACACGCGTGCAGGGACCTCATATTTTAAACCAACGTCAAAAATGAGGTAATTCTCAATTTAAAGCTATGTGGTTTTTTACTGTACAAAACTTTGCGTTTGTACAGATAATCATACTGTAGCATACTGATTGACTCCTTGCAGTCTGCGACTGTTTTCTTAATAAAAGTCGTGTTCTTCGTAGCTGCGACTGGGGCGGGAATGCAATAACTATTATTAAAATCTGAATAACAGTAATAAATGTATATAATTCACAAGAGGGCTCGCAAAGGAGTAGTTAAAAAGATATATAAAAAGCAGATATTAAAATAATACAATATCTATTATGAAGGAATAATGGACAAGCTGTCAGTAACAATAGCAATATATAAAATAAGAAGAGATATTAACGTTACATAAATACATACATTGATATACCGAGTTGGTTGACTTTTGCGGCACATAGAGCCATTTTTTTTATTTATACAGGTATTTTTATATATTGGATACATTAGTCAAGTGTTCGTAATTGGTGAATAAAGAATTTATCTATCTATCTATCATTAAAGTCAATATATTAAACAAAAAAATAACATTAATATTATGTATAAACTAGCTTTTGCACGCGGCTTCGCTCGTGTTAATTTGTCCCCTTAGGGGTGGAATTAGAGGATGCCTACGTCATAACATCTACACCTGCATGCCAAATTTCAGCCCGATCCGTCCAGTGGTTTGGGCTGTGCGATGATAGATCACTATGTCAATCACCTTTGAGTTATACACATATATATTTTATTTATTCGGATTTTGATAATCTAAATATATTAGATTATCAAAATACTAATAAAAAAATATCTTTTACTATTTATTTTCAAGGCAATATTTAGATATGACTTACCTAAATTTATACATAATATTCATATTGTGTTTTTATAACACGTAAAGTCCAAAATACACACAAGAAATAAAACGGACTTTCGTAAATGTGTTATGAAAGTCCGTCTTATTTCTTGTCGTTGTGTGTATTAGACTACAAGTAAGTCATTTATCTATTTAACTATATATGAAAAGCAACCAAAGCACGGAACCTGTACCCACGAAGTATCAATGCCTTGCATACTGACCCACTTATGGAGCTGTATACTTACTACGCTATAAATTGCTATGCAATGCAACATAGTAATGTATAAACAGGATTAAACCGATGCCAGTGTAGTGGTGTACTATAAATTTATCATTACATTTCTTGCTTGTGAATGTACATCTGTTTTATTTTTATTTATTTACTATTGACCCGGTCCGGCTTCACATAGATTTTTAATATATCCGATATTAAAAATCTATGAATTTATCTGCTTGTTATATACTATATGATGCATGTATTATACATATAAACCATCTCTCTATGTATTGCTAAAAGTGTATTAAAACCGTTGCGTAATTTAAAAGATATAAGAGAAAAAAGTCAAGTAGGCAAGTACTGCATTACACTTACCTACTTGACTTTTTTCTCTTTTTCGAAGATGCGGTGGTAAGCTTACTTATATTGAGTTACAATATAGCATTATAATATATTAGAGTAAGTAACTATATTAGAGTAATTATTTAATATTTACCGCTTATATTATTTTAGTTTAATTTTCATTCAAAGTATTTTTCAAGTTTAGTTAAGAGACTATAACTTCAGATGCTACTTACAATGCAATGATTTGGCAAAATTTTAATTGACCAGTTGTAAACGATTACGCCACAAAATTCTAGAAATACTACTTACTAAGTAAGTACTTAATTCGACAATTACTGGTGCAATGAAATCGAGTTCCTTAGTAAGGGCTTCGAGGAATGTTTATTCAGTAGGAGTTTTTACCGGCCTTTTTATCAATACCGGCGACTTGACATCTTATTTATAGTAAATATTTGTTCAGATTAGAGTGACTAAGGAGTTCGTGGCTCGTTAGACGCCGTTTTTGTTAAATAACGCATGATTGAAAACTTTCTATTTAAATGGTGCCTCATAAAGGATGGGAAATAAAAAGTACTTTATAAATATTTTAATGATTTCTCTCTTGATAGAATGGACTAAACTGATTTGTCATCTCGTAAACTATGTTTGTCATCGTCTGGAAATGTTTCCGTTGAAATTAATTATTGATGTCTAAAATGGTCGTTATGTGATGTCATTTAAAAGTAATCTTAGGGGAATTTTTAACCCTATATCGTTAAATCTGATAAAAAAAATATACCGTATAATAGGACATCCAAGCTTCCGTTTTCTCCATGCATAAGACAAACATTTGTGTATATGAATATGAGGGTTTTTTCTATATATACCTAATGTTAGGCCTACAGTTACATTCACTGGTAGTTTTGTATATTCGTTTATCCATATTTAAAATAGAGGTATTCTTTTTATTATTTTATATACACTTCTGTCTATGCGCTCTGCTGTATTGAACTTATAAAAGCTTATCTCTTTTTCTACCATTTATTTAGTACCCAAATTTGGGATTAGTTGATTTTATGTTCATGGGAATATTTATCTTCAAAAATATATGTAGATAACGGTAAATACGTAAATACAATAATGATAATAATAACCTCAGAATCATTCTCACAGCGCCATCTAGTCCCAAACAAAGCAGAGCTTGTGTTATGGTACTAAACAATTGATTTTATACGTAGTTACTTGTTTTGCAAATGCATACATAATATACGTAGAAAATACCCAGACCAATACAAATAATCATACACGTGAATATAAATAGTTGTACTGTACGAGGAATCGATCCCGCGATAGTCGGAGGTAAAGCGGCTAAACCATTGGACTATTGAGGCCGTCAAATGTATGAAAAAGTTGTGCTTTCTCTAGTTTTTGGGAATATTTTATTTATCTGCAAAGTTATAGTGTGAATGAAGGTAGTCGTGATTCACGTGACACCAATATTATAGTCCTCCTGTCACTCACTCGTAGGGTTGTCGAATGCAATTTAATTAATGAATAAATATATTTTACTTTATAATGTACATTTAATAACATCTATATTTAGAAAATAACTAAATAAAATAAACTAAACTAATAAATAATAATCTTATTATCGACGGATGTAATAAACCTCGAACGTGAGAGAGGAGATATATATGTATATATATATTTAGCAAATCTATTTCTTTAGTAGCTTGTGTGAAATCTTTTGAAAAGGATCGTTATGAAGATGAATAAAGGTGGGTGTTTGTGTTTCTTACTGTGATCTATGTTTAATGCATTTAAAATCAATAAAATTAATAATAAATGATAGACCGTATTGACAGAAAGAAAAGAAGTTTTTATTTTTAATTACAATAATTTTATGGCTTTATAAAATGAGGTTTCATGTGCTAACAGTGGGGTATAGTTGGTACGACTCTGGCTCTAGGCCGGACTCTACTGCAGCAATTAGTGAAGCGAAAGGGTCCGACTACCGTTTCCTCCCCGCCGCGCCGTCTCTTTCCGCGAGATAACTTCCTCACACAAGGAGCTTACTGAAGTTGGTAACCCTAGTTACGCGCCTGCTTCGTGTCGGCCTCATCACGCATTATACAAATGAAATTGTTATTAAATGCGTCAGGAAATAAGACAGGTCCCAGTTCACATGACACTGCGCGAGTCAGTTCGTTTAACATATTTTATCAATTACAATCTTTACGTGTAATAAAATACATAATAAAATCTAGGATAATAGATCAACGTAATAGAAACCAGAGCAAAGATTATTGGAATTTCTTGTCTCTTTATCTGTATGTTTGCGCGAGCTATGTAATCAGAAATTTGAATTATATTTTTTTTCAATCTATATCAAAAGTTTTATCATTTAACGAACTGTAATTTCACTGCCTTATCTCAATCTACAACCAAAAACCAGCAAAGCAAGCTTATTTTAGCAAACAAACAGACTACCGAAATAAGAGAGAGACAGACCTACGCAGACGACTTTATAGAAAGTCAACCTAACTTAAATGATTGAACACAATCTTTTTAGTAAATACAGCAATTATGTGTTGATGTATTATTTTTTAATAATATATTGGTATATATTTTTTTAATTTTAATTATATTTTACATGGCTAATGAGGCAAAAAATGGTACATGAATAATTTCACAATCAGAAATCACATAGACTACCTATGTTTTCGCAAAACAAATTTGATTTGAATGAAATTTAGATTCTACCAGTGTAATTAAAGAAGCCGTGTGGGCATCGTGAAGCGGTTGCTTTACTTGCACTTGTTTTCTAACGAAAGGAAATGTTATAATATTTTCTTTTGTTTCTTATTGCTAAACATAATTATAACATGGAAATTAATAAAACTTTTTGTTTGTCCACAGTCGACAATCGCGAGCTCCGCGCAGCGTGTACTCATACAGAAGTGCGGTGGCGCCATCTGTGGCGTCTACCCACAGATCCAAAGTTTCGAGAAAGGTATAATCTTCAAGTTCAAAAATATCAACGTCCTAATATTAGGAATGTCCTATGTTAGGAATTATATTATTATATGAAATTATAAGGAAACTTTCATTTTGTGTATGTCTTACACAAAACTTTAGTTTCTTTATAATTCTCTCCCTTCCAACAAAGACAGCGAGAGAAAACAAAGATATAAGTGCAACAAAACAATGTTGCACCTATCTCTGTACTACTGTGCAATGACATTTGTTTTGTGGACTTCCGTGATACAGGTTCGTCTAGTGCGAGGTCCAATATAAGTTTGTTATATTTAGAAATTTCAAATTAAAAAAATATTATATAATACACTTGAGATCAATAACAGCTCTTATCAATTGAATCTGTATAATGTACTGGATGGTAGGGAAAAAATACACAAAATTTTATGTTCATAAGCGGCTAAAATGTCCTACATGAATAAATGTAACAGTTCTGCTTGTAAATAAGCTATATAAGTTACGGTAACCATTTACCATCACATGGATCGAATGCTTATTTGCCACCATGGTAATATATAAAATTCTCATCACAGGTTTCGTGATTTTACTCCTCCGAAACGGCTTGACCGATTTTCATGAAATTTTACATATATATTCAGTAGGTCTGAGAATAGATTTTTAACTAATTTTTATAACGCTAAGTGTTAAGAGTGGCTCTCCACAAACTTTTTTTTATTAAGTATTTTTTATTAAAAATCATAAATTAAAATATTTCCACCCTTCTAGCATCAACCCCTATTTTTAATAGCGATTTTAATTTATATAGCCAAACAACAGCTAGTATTATTAGTTAGTTATTATATTTATGTTTGTTTCAGGCTGGTGTGAAAGTAGATGCCATGGCCGCTCCCAATCCCTTCTGTCCGAACGTGAAGGGCATGTGCTGTCTGATGCTACTACTTAACCTGGGACTGATCCTGGTGACGCTCGGTTTCGTCATTGTGCTGCAATTCTTCGAGCCTTTGTTTGTATGGTTTGTATCTATTATATATATATATATATATATAATATTAATACTAATTTGAGTGTTTCTTTTCCATTGTTTGTAAAGTTCTGTCACAAATATTATTAGCACACCGCCTTCTTTCCTATGGTCGCAGGTTCGATACCTCGCACGATACAAACTTTTGTATTCATGAGTGTAATGGTTTGTAGTGTTTTGAAAACACACAGATCTGTACAATTACTTTAATCATGAGTAGTTCAATAATGATTATTGATATACATAAAATTAATTATTTAATTGAAAAGGTAATCGATTACTGTCAAACTGAATACAAAACAAACAAAAAAATGTATTTGAGTATCTAAATCACTCGTTTTATACTTATAACATACCTAAGCTCTTTTTAAGTTAGGACTTGATGGCGCTGTGTTCATTTGTTTATGTTATTATATTCTTATTTTGACTTTACTTAATATTATAAACGCTAAGATGTGTTTGTTCCGTTCACGACTAAACAATATAACAGAGCTTAATGGAATTTGACGTGAAAATATCATTTAAATTAATTATTGGCAGTATAAATAATATTCGTGAGAAATAACATGGCGAAATGTATTATGTAGGTACTATTTTTCTTTATTTATATCTATTATTAAATTGCATCGCCTTAATTTCACTGGTGAGCGCGACGGTTGACCGGTAGAAAATGCCATCAGGCATTAAGTCCGCCGTGTATAGGTACAATTCTGCCTGCGAAAGAATAAAAAAATAAGATATTAAAAAAAATAAAAATGTATAAAGAGGGATATAATAGTAGTGTATTAATAACGAAACCCGTATTCAAATCGAATAGTTTACGTATATTTGCTCGTCTCTTTGTGACGACTATGAGAAGCAACCAAGTTCACAGGCCAATGTCATCCCAAATAGCGATTACAGTTATACTTTGCTTTGGAAAAAAAAATGTAAAGCGATTTTTAATGTTCACAGAACAATTACGCGACCATATTCAATTGTTGGAGTTGTGAATACGAATGTGTTTAGATACCTTTCGAAACGTTTAGCTGCGTTGTGGGAATAAATTTAGAAACCTCACATATTATTAGTAGTTCGAATACCCTCAATGTTATAAAAGAAAATTCTATTAATATTAGTACATTAATAGAGTTTTCGTTTATAGTATTGAGGTCTCTTATAATAAAGGATTCTTTATGTTGTATACTATACAGGCTAATCAGAAATGTATTTAATATTCTAAATTTATAGTTCTTTTATTGTACATTTTTTATTTATAGATACCTCAATATCTTGACAACCATTCCTAATAATATATCTCCGTATATCAAGTCTTTTTCTGTATTTTTACCTAAAAATAAAACTAAATTTTATAAATATAATAAAGCTATTTTTGATTTTGTATTTTGTTCTAGTACCGTCAGACCTGTTAAGACTCGGTGGGTCAAGGATTTGATTCTAATAATAAAATCTACAATTAAAATGTTTAATAGTATATACCTACTTCTTACTTACTTTCGGATAATCAAAAATGAAAAGTTAGTTATTATGTTTAGAACAACTTCGTTAGTTGTCGATGTCTTTGCCGACTCCATCTGGGCTTGATGTCGTGAGGATATGGGTATGACGGATATGTATGTCCCCACCAAAAGTTGATTAACGATAACTAATATGAAAATACAAGATATCAATTTACTTGTCGGAGAAAATAAACGTAAGAGAAATGTTACGTTTGTTATTTCAGACCTGCGCATTTATTAAACTATTTAGATTTTATTTATTATTTATAAGTAACTTTAGGTACATTGCTATAGATTCGTTCCATAAAATGTTATACAAAATCGGTTCAGGAATTTGGTTTCTCAATTAGAATAATTTATGTAACCTTACTGTATTACTTAAATACTTGTATTTGATTTTTTTTATTCTTTGTTTTACAGGATTTTGGGCATAGTATTCCTCATATTCGGCTTCATCACGCTCCTCGGCAGCCTCATATACTGCGTGGTGCTTTGTCGAGAGAACCCTTACCCGAGGTATCCCGACGACTTCTACTGGACTCATCACTGGTCTAAAACCATAGGCCCTTCGGAGATCCACTACAGCACCAGCGAGAAACAGTACAGACAGAATAACCACAACGACAGATACAACAAATATAATGGCAAATATTCAGACCGGGAAAGTGCTAAAGGCTATTCTGATAGAGAAAGCAAATTGAGTAGGTACTAATTCATATTAATGGTAGTTAACAGGTTTAATTCGTCTATCGAACGCAGGGTTCGATTTTTAAAATGTGATTTTACGGCCCGGGCACACTGTACTTTGGAAATTTGTATTTTTGGCGCGAAGATCGTCGTGTCGCCATAGATAAAGAATTACTTTTTAAATGTGTGTAACCGGTTGGGACACATTTCTGTATAAATTAAGAAAATTAATACTGTAGGTATCTTAATGTCAATATTTGATAGATATTGATAAAAATAATAGTATTATTATAGATACCTTTTTAAAGATGTTATAAGATTACTGATTCAGTAAATAATGTTATTTACTTAAATGCTTTACTAATGTATAAATAATATAAACATATCAACGCTCTTAATTTCCCAAAATGGGGGGAAATATAAGTTTTCTTTTCATTTATGATGTATGATATGGTGCACTCACCAGCACTAAGTGTATACGCTGGGCAATGGTGGATAACCATAGAATAATCAAAGCATGAAGCCAGGCCAGTCATCTTAGTGGAGAATTCACTAGGTATCATCTACGGCGGAACGCGGTTTTTTTTTATTTATTATGCTTTGCGGCTATGGCTACAAGTCCTTTCGAGCCCAAACATAAAACATTGCTTGTAATGTAACCAGTCTTCAATAATAAAGATACCCAATACAATAGTTGACATATATATAATTAAATATGTTTTACATTTATTAATAACTAGTAACATTTTTGTCTTCCTCGAAGTACACGAACTTGTACGGTTATAACATTACATGTAAATAATAATTTTATTGTAATTAAGTATATTAGCTAACTCTTTGAATTGAATGCCATATTAAATTAATATTAACTGTTTTTCAAAGAGTGTTTATTTTATAATGTAAATCTACTTATACGTAATAAATGTAAAGGTCCAGATTTTATTCATATACATTTTATAAAGCTAAATAACCTGGCCAGACGAGAGACGCCTCATTTTTTCGGACCCTCAAAGGGTTTAAATAAATACAACATATAAAGATATTTTATGTCCTTCGCGGAATAACGCGGACAGAACTCTCGTCTGCAAATGGCCTTCGCAAACTTAAACTGTATACTAATTTAAGAGAAAAATGTTAGAAAAGAGAGTTTAAAATGAAAGCTTTAAAGATTATGAACCCTTTTTGGTTTAGTTAAGACAGTTTATTGCATGCGATTTATATTTAAGATAAATTTCATTTACACTTTTAAAAAAATGTACGAATGATACCAAGAAATTATGTAATAAATTTTTTTATACATTGCAAAATCAAATTCCAAAACCTAACCTAACCTAATCCCCTATACGTTAATAATAAAAACGTATTTATTATTGATACTTTAAACACTAAAGTAATACTTGTACTTACCATACCATACCAATGCTTTTTTGAAATCTGAAATAAACTACGGATATAATCGGTAATAAAAAATAATTATATTGTCTATGCATAATTTTGTACTTACCATTTACTCTATTTCAGATAAATAGGTAATATTCTTTACCCTCAATAATGCATAAATTCTGAAATATTCCACATATTTGATCGCAATAATTGTAATGATATTATAATCAGTTCTAATACGATTGGTGTTATATAATTTGAATTGTCTATGTACAAAAAATGACCTTAACTCCATAATCTGTTAATGAGACCAATGTATCTCTTTAAAAGTAATTATAAAATAAAATGCTACTTAACAGAAGCGCATTTCATTACACCCTTAATAGATAAATGATTTATCTATTACTAAAGTAAAATATTGAATTATAAGGCGGAAACATATAGTGATTTAAATATAGCACAATATTCGCTGACTCTCACAAATTCGACTTAAATATATTATTCATGACTGTCAGTGAAGAATAATAGAACTGAAACAACACAAGTATTTAAATTGTTCTTTTATTTACAAATAGTAATATTAACATTTCATGTATCGAAATATTAATAGAATACGAACGCAAATTACAGATTAACAAATTACGGTGCGCACACGCGCATTTCATAAAATTTTAGAAAATTCTCCAAACATTAATTGACGTAATACTAAATTTAATAAAATATTCATTAAATTATCTCAATTTGTACACATACGCCGGCGACAATACAAATTGTACAGTACTTATTGAATTACAACAAAAAATATATAAAAGACATACTGTGAGTAATAACACCACACAACATACATTGTCCGAGATTTAAATCTAATACAAATTAATTAAATTATGACATAAATAATAAAACAATAAACAAGAATATTATATCATTATGTTAAGATGAAAAACATAAGCAATTTTAAAAGCCGTGCATAATAATAATTAATAGAAAATAATTCTTGAATGTATAAAACAATTTATTGAAAGTACGATACAATATTATACTGATAGTCTTGGCACTTAGTCAAAATCTGAATACCTTTTATGATATTATATACGAACAAATTCAACCAGTCTAGGGATTCTAAATTTGTCGTATATTTTTATATATGTATAAAGTAATACAATTCGAGTGTTTATAAGAATTATAAATAGTAGTGTTTGAAATACGCTTTTATAACCATAAAGTATTTCAGTAACTGTAAATTTAAGTTAGAAATAAAAGATCATTTTCAAAGAGATTCAATATAAAACAATATTTGAGTTCACTCACAGTGTTAATGAAAACGTATACAATTATTGAGTCTTCATTTACAAATTTAATATTAATGCAGTGTTAAATCACAAGTAGTCACAAGTAACAAAATGTCTAGTACGAAAATAAATCAAGAAATAAATATAATTGAATAAAAATAATAATAGTTGAACAGACAGGCGGAGAATAGAAAATTTTCAAGATCATTATATGTACAATTGTCGAAAATTTTTAGTCTAAAACAAAACTTCAGAAAATCTTACATACGAACATGTCTAGCGGCCGCGCGCAAACACTTCACTTTAAACTACCTTACGTATGTATAAATATTACTTAACAGTAATTGTGCCTATTATATTTTGAGGTTATTAGGCGATCGACACACGTTACGGGTACAGCCGGTGGCGGATGCATAATCTCTGTACAAGTAGACACTTGTACTATTCTCATAAAACTCACATTGATGTATACAAATTATACTTGAAACAATTTCAAATATAAATAATTATTATATTACTGTCATATATGTATATCTGCTATGATATTTATATGGGAAATAAAATAAACAATGTATAAATTATGCGCTTGGATAATTCATGTATTTATCGAAATTTGACTATGCCTATCATTGGCTAGTTGGAAAACTTAATTTCATTGCCTACAGTCAGTTTCAATGACGTTTTTTTTATATTTAAAACAAGTCTACACTGACTATGCCACACGAAACCGCTGTACCACTTCCAAACGTGTAATCACACAGATACCCTCAGACATTAAAAACAGTCGACACACGCTTGTCACAATTCAAATTAAATATCACTGGCAACACATCGAGTCCACCACGTGATCACACTTCGTTGAGTCATAACGTTATCTGATAAATTTGTATAAAAATAATTCTGAATGTGATTAACGCATTATATTACAGTTCACGATCCGACCGTGTCAGCCGAATCTGCGCCTCTCTCGCTTTTATAAACAATCACCGCTCCGACTCAAATTGAAATACTGAATCTGAAACAATATTATTATTTAATAAAAAATTACCCTTTAAGACAATCTGGTCCCACGGTAAGCAGCTCACTGTTAGAAAGTTGCTGCTGTTTCTGGAACTATTTACTCTTTCCATTGTTTCGAAACCTCGGGTTGAAATAAAGGTGCGCTAAACGTTAAAATAGCGTTAAGCGGGGTCTTATTGTAATCCTATGAATATTATAAACGCAAAAGTTTGTGTGTATGGATGGATGTTTGTTACTCTTTCGCGCAGAAACTACTGAACGGATTTTGTTGATACTTTACAGTAATATAGCTTATCAGAATAACATATAGGCCACCACAATGTCATGCGGGTGAAACCGCGGGCACAGCTAGTAATAATAATAAGATAATCACCCAGGCATATTCCGGTGTGGCGTCTAGTCGGAGCCGGATTCTGAGCCGTCACTGAACTTGTACTTCTGAGCGGCCCGCGGCCGGGCGGATGTTCCGCGAGGTGCGACATCTTTCACAGCCTCCGCCTCTGAGCCCGACTCTGAGTCACTCCACTCCTTCTTAACTTTCTTGCGGGGATTCGCCTTCTTGTTCTGTGACAAAAATAAATACATACTAATTGTTCAGAATGATATTATTACATAGTATAAAACAAAGTCGCTGTCTATCCGTCCCTATGTATGCTTAAATCTTTAAAACTACGCAAAAGATTTTGAAACGGTTTTTTTAATAGATAGAATGATTCAATAGGAAGGTTTATATATATAATACATGTACACCTGTGCTAAGCCGGGGTGAGTAGTTAGTTACATACAAATACAAACTGCCAAATATCAAAGTTGACATAAATAAATAAATAGTTGCAGTAACGAACCAATCATAGTTATTAGAGCAGACCAGTCTCTACAAGCACACCCGCTCACAAGTATAAAAGGTAAGCCAGCCATCACAGCAATCATCTTACTAATATTATAAAAGTAAAGTTTATGAGTACAAATGGATAGATGGATGTTTGTTACTCTTTCACGCAAAAACTATTTAAGGAATTTTGATGTAACTACAATAATATAGCTTATACATAAGAACAACACATAGGCTATAAATTTCACGCAGGTGAAACAACCTCGGGTACAGCTAGTATTTAACATGTAAGGCATTTGATTACCTTGTTATTCAAAGCTTAAATTAAGTTTTATTTATTTTAAACTTTATTTTATTTTTATTTCAATAAGGACTATTTCTATATTTGTTGAACACAAGCGTAATAGCCATTTCATTATGACGAAAAATATATGCACATAGACTGGAGCCTACCTTTTTACTGTCAAATATACTATCATCGTCGCTGTCCTGGCTGAACACTGTCTTGGCAGGCCTCTTCTTGGTGTTCTTGGGTTCCTTCTCGGTGTGCAACTTCCGTTTCGGTGCAGCCTTCTTCTTGGGAGGCGAGTCTACCACCATCGGTTCATCGTCGCTCGTGGCATGCGAGTTGTGGTTCTGTTTAGGCTTCTCTGATTCTTCTTTCTTTGTGTCTTCGATTAGAGAATCAAATAGACAATCTGTAAAGTACATTAAAAAATAACTAATTAAATGTGACGAAATTCATAGGATAGGTCGTCCAGTGCTCCAAATTCGACCATAATTGATTTAAATTATAAGATTAAATATTATGTCAAAGACTATACTTCTATAGTCAGAGGTTTCACCAAAACTACACAGTGTAATCGAGTCTCAATTTGACCTTTAACAATAAACAAAAGTGTGTATATGCGTATGTTCTTATTTTTCATTGCTTTAATATATTTTTAAACCATAATTTAAAAAAAATAGCATTCTGCACTCCTCTATATAAACTATAAAAAAGGTATTTATAATAGTGTAAAAGTGTGATTGTGTGATTGTTACCAATCACACTTTAGTCCGTACACAAACTGTGGATACTTATTCACCAATTACATACATTTTTGTTTCAACAAACTCACCAGAATCCATTTCTGCGGGTTTCTTGTCAGCATTCTTCCTAACATTGAAGTCATCATCGTCGTCGCTGATGGATAACGCCCGCGGAGCCTCCGTGTCGGACCCCACCTTATTATCATGAAGCTCAACATCTGAATCTGACGATGAGTCTTCTGAACCATCCTTATATTTTTGTACCTGTTTATTTAAAAATAAAGATTAATATATTTTTTCAAATTAGACTATAATAATATATCTGGAATCTGGTGGTGTGTGGTGCGCGTGGTGTGCGCGGTGTGCGTGGTGTGCGTGGTGTGCGTGGTGTGCGTGGTGTGCGTGGTGTGCGTGGTGTGCGTGGTGTGCGTGGTGTGCGTGGTGTGCGTGGTGTGCGTGGTGTGCGTGGTGTGCGTGGTGTGCGTGGTGTGCGTGGTGTGCGTGGTGTGCGTGGTGTGCGTGGTGTGCGTGGTGTGCGTGGTGTGCGTGGTACTGACGTTGGCGGCGGCGCGGCGGGCCTGTGGTCGCGGGCGCGGCGCGGGCGGCGGCAGGCTGCCGGTCTCCGAGTCCGACCCGGAGCCCGAGCTGCCGCTGAACGACGTCTTCTTCTACAACACAACAGACATACACATGTCAATAACTTGTTCATGTATAGTACTTATATCTTTACACAGTATAAACAAAATCGCCATCTACTAGACAACTGATAGGAATACATAGATACATACATCTTTATATAGTATAAAATTAAGTAGCATTCGCTGTCTGTTTGCTTATGTATCTTTTAAATTGCGCAAAGGATTTTAATTCAGAAATAAATAGTATGATTCAAGAGAAAGATTTCTATGTATAATACATGCATGTTACAGTATAAAACAAGCAGACATATTAAAAGATTTGTAATGCATCCAAAACCAGGACGAGTTGCTAATGTATGTAAAATATATTCATAATTTCCTTGCATCCCATTATTTTAGGTCCACACAGTATGTCCTCTTCTTCCACTAATCATATCTGACCTTACTATATTCTTATACATAACATCTTTCACACAATGCATACATATTTTTTTATGATTCTCTCCCTTACAATGTATATCTACTTTCATGTTAAATACTTTCTTTAAAACATCTTCCTATCTCCTCTGCCTAACATTATGTATATTTAATTATTTCTACAACAAAAAATATTAAAACCTTGATAAATAAATATATAACTGACATAAACAACTTACGCACTATCAGAACTTCATTTACGATGTTCTACATGGAACATTTTTATTATACCTCTTGACATGAAAGAAAATGTTACTCTAGATAGCAGGTATATAGTATTGATAATTACATACCTTCTTAGGTTCCTTCTTGAAGTTAAGCTTCGTCTGTTTCATACCATCAGCTTTCTCAGTCTTCTCCGGTTTCTCCACTTTCTCCTTCTTCACCCGCGCTTTCGGCTTCTTCTCGCCACTTGATGGACTTATTCCTGTTGGATCATCCTGCAATCAAGCATTAAGTTAACACAACAGTGTAGGATATTTTACAAGCTTAGGACTTTATATTATGCTGCATGAATTGTCCAGGGTTGTTCTTATTATTATTAAATACTCTTATAATGACAAAAATAAAACATTATTTAAATTATTAACCGGGTCTTAACACGAATAATTTTATGGCAAATAAAGGTATTTACATAATGTATTACATTAATTATTTAAATAATGTATATTAAACACGAATGTTTAAAATTAACTAAAAATAAAGCAGGATAATTTTGAACATCACTACTTACAGGATCATACTCCTTTTTGTGTTCTTTCCTGGACTTCGCCTTTTCAGCAGCTTGGATTCTCTTTATGAGGTCCTCGGATATCTTGGGCTCTATACGTCTGCCGTTGTCCGATGGTATGATATCCATTAGAGACTTGCGATTCTTCTTATTGGCAGCCTAATAACAACAAACAAATTAAATACAAAGAAAGCTTTAAGAAGCCTAGAACCTAAATCATATGATGATAACTTGATCAAATATGTATGGCAATAATTGTACATGCACGGGATTTTCATTTAACGTTAGATGAAGAAACCTATATGTATATGTAATTAACATAGGCAAACTGTCTTCTGGACTGTAAGCGAAAAAACTTTACGTTCATAACGGTCTTGAGAAAGGTCCTTATTATTATTTTTATTTTCGTATTCAGAACCATTGCTTGAATACTATATATTATTATGTATAAATTTGTGTAATCTTACCTTCATTCTCTCCATCTATTCGTGTGTAAGCATTAAAAGATATGTTTTTATGAGATGTGTTCATTGTGTACGAGCTAGCATCATACATTATTTCGCAACATTAACATTTCATATTTAACCAAAAATCAGTTTGCATTGCGTGGCCAAATGCGAACTGATTAATAAATAAAATAAAATAATGTATGATGCTTGTTTGTACACAGTGCATAACAAATTATAAAAAAAAATAACAAATTAATATTAACCAAATATATACAAGCAGTACAAGAGACGAAGCTAGTAAATAGAGATGATCATATATAAGACAGATTAAAATACTAAATGATATTGTGGAATTACCATATAATAATTTAAAAACTTCTGTTAAAACATTTACTCACCAAAGCCTATTTAGTCACTATATGATTATTAAAATGACAAATGTGATGGCGGTAGGTGTTCATTAGCATATTCAAAATTTAGAAAATGTTAAACATAGATACCTAAAAAGTGAATAATGTTAACAGATAACTTTAAAAACAACAACAGATCTGATTCTTACCACTTCTCAACTTAAAAGATTACAATATCATATATAATCATACCTTCTTAAAACTCTAAAATGTGATTACATCAATAAATGATTAATAAATGAAGAATGTTTAAATAACTCTACATAGTACAATGGAGAAGACATATGTGGTACATACCAGTGCTTTGGAAGTCTTCTTGTTAACACCGAGCTCCTCCTGCCGCTCCTGTTCCTCAACCTCGTCCAGCTTCAACAGGAGAGCGTCCAGATCCTCGCGCCACAGCATCGGAGGGGTCTTCGCTCTGCGAAGTTTCAAATCAATAAATTCATTTATCATATATAATTTTATCTTCCACACTACTCAAAATGTGAGAAAAATACAAAGTAAACTTTACGGATTGCATAAAAGATGATTTAAAATTGAGGAAATAACTAAAGTGATTGAAATAAATGAAACTGAAATGATAAAATTTTATCTTACATTAACACATAGGACTTTTTTTTATCAAAATAAATGCAGACAAGTCAGTGGAAAATATATAGTAATCACAGATGATGAGAGATGTGTGAGAAATTAATGGAAAATATTTACTTGAGTGCAGTGAGTTCTGCAAGTTTCTGATCCCTCTGTTTGAGCAGTTCTTCTTTCTTCTCTCTGGTAAGCATCCACATGGACATACCCAGCAGATAGTTGAACTTTTTCACTTCTTTCAACTGCTGGAATGCTTTTTCTGTAAATATTATAAAATGTTATTATTGTTATAATGAAATTATATAAGTGTTAAGCACTGACATTCAACAATAATTTCTTGAACATAATGTTTAACACCATACAAGTGTTGAAAAAAAAAACACTAAATTCAAATTAAAATAATCATTATAAATCTATATTTTATAGTAATTAGTTAGCTGAATATCAGTTTAAAAACTTAAGTGTGAATTAAATATGAAAAAAAAGAATTTAATAGCCTCTAGTTGCAATGACTATTTAATTGAATTATCAAGCAAATATGAACCTTAATGAAAAGACTAGAGATATTTTGTCAGTATCAGAGAATATTTAACTTACTTTTTTGTAATTGAAATGGCAATTAAGTTGATGGGTCATCTGATGATATGTGGTAAACATCACATAACATACACTCTTTTTAGAAGGAATAAGCTCTTTTCTTGAAGGTATTTTTATTACAGTGACAATTGCACATATGCAGTTTACATATTTAATTACAAATGTTACCTGGATCAACTGGTTTGCCTTTCTCTTCGGGTTCAGCTTCTTCCTCAGATTCCACAGGCTCATCATCTGCTACGTTCTCTAAACCCTGCATCTTTGCAGCGCGTTTCTTCCACTCCGCAATCGGGTCCGGCGCATATCCTGAACATTATAAAAATATACATATGTAGATATGTATGTTCTTTTAATCAAGTTTTTTTATATGTTAATTGTTACACATATGACCAAAATATCATATTTATGATACTGAAATTACAACATAATAACAATTTTACTGTAATATGGGGTTTAATATATTTTCTGGAGAGAAACTAATTTTGATCAAGAAAATATCAAACCGCGAAGGGCGTCTCTTGATTTCATTAATTTTCAAGGTATTTTCACCACTAGGCAGAAATAATATTCGATACACAAAGTCTCTAGGATTATTTTTACATATTTTATCAGAGTTTCTATTACTATCACTAGCCAGAATTTATGCTACAGCCAGTCTTTAGTGTTATTAAATTTAAACCCAGTCCAGGTAGAAAGCTAAGTCACTGTATATAGCGACGGTACATGCAATACTAAAAAAAAAATCACCTCTCTTAATCAGTTCTTCCACCATTGCCTTCCGCTTCTTGTTCTCGACAACCAGGCCTTTGTCGCATTTCTCTAGGATGAACCGCGCTTGGTTCGACAATTTATCGGCCTCTGCTTGTAGCTGACCTTCCAAGTAATCCTTCCGGCGCAGATAGTATCTTAATCGGATGTCGTAGAACACTCTCAGGATCTCTTCTACTTTCTCGTATCTAGAGTTTATATATTTCATTAAACGAGTATACAATAGTGATAACAATCAAATATAGTATGATGTAATTTATACCACCTAAGTATATAAATTAATTATAATAATAGTTTGTTCAGCATAGCATAATAAAGAGGAAGGAGAGGAGGGAAATATAAAGGTACTTAAAAACTATAATAAATATTGCGCTATAAGCTGAAAGGGCCTCTACTGAGCTAGTGCCGCAGCATGTCACTGCAGTACAGATTTTCAGTGAAGTCTACTCAAAAAAAAGAAATAGCATTCTTGATATATATATTTTATTTTAAATATAATAAAATGAAATATAAGAGTAAGTTTCGATGTGTAATCATTGAAGAAAAATATACAAGGATAAAATTTCTAAATGTATTTTTTTTTATTATTTATTTCTATATTAAACAAGAGACATAATTGTGTAATATAACTAGAATTCAATACATGTAATATATTATATAACAACTACTGTATTCATCTGCCATGTATAGGGGTTTTTGTACTTGGAGCATATCTTTTTTATATAAAACATTATAGATGTAACTGATTTATTTTAATGTCTAAACTTACTTGTTTAAGCAGTTGTTGTGATCAAACGCGTTCATGCAAGTCATAGATATGGTGGTCTGCAGTTTGAACACTTTATGTATGCCTTCAGATTCCACTTCAAATAGTTTTCCAGGCAGGAGTGATACCACAAAACGGACAGTTGTATCTGTGTTGTATTCCTGAAATGGATTTTAATTACAGTCAAGTGTCAAGAGATGAAACAGTTAGAGAAGAAGTAATACACAGAACAAGAGCATATAGAGATCATATAAGGGTGCATGCTATATCCTTGCAACAGCACTATGTGAGCCAGTGAACTCCTATATGTTACTGTATATTTATTTGAAATAACATTTATTCAAAAGATCTACACGCAAGTTCCTTGTTCGTTCTTGTCATAAGTCTGCGGTCCAAATAAGTAAAAAAAACATGACTACTAAAAACCGCTTATATAAAGTTTATTAGAATAAAGATTATTTGTATGTCTGCTTGCAAAAAATCTCATAAATTCTCATACAAGTTCTAGTACGTAGTAAGCTTCCAATGAATTTTCATCATTCAAAATTAATACTTACATTTTAAATTATAATAATGATTTTTAACAATAACAACACTAATCTAGAGAAGGATCCACTATAGGATAAAAGACTGTCTGCAGTATTATTTTTACTTACAAGTTCAACAGTCTGCTTCTTTGTCAATAATATTGATATACCATGTTGATAATCATAGAAGGTACCTTTTCATTATTTAGAAGATTTATAGAATAGTTGTTTCCTTACCCTATATTCCGATATGAGCGGCTTCACTTTGTCAGTACCCAGCAAAGGTTCTAGAACATTCTCCTTATAATTCTGTGTCCATGTACCAATTGGAAGTTCTGTGATTTCTATTTTGTCATTGGGCAATACAGCGGCCTCGCCGGATATGACGTATTTATCGCCAAACCCTTCAATGGTGCCGCGGAAGTTTTTGTACCAGGGATGCATCGGCTTGGGTTCCTCGCCATCGAGCATGCGACTGTAAATAATGAATTGCTGTAGTTTATTCCACAAAGAAAATTAAATAATATTTTAATCAACTATTAACCTTAATGATAATATCCCTAAAAATATCACACTACACCATCTAAACTCAAGTTAAGCCAAACTTATATATATAAGTAGAAAATATCCAGGACAATACAAAAAAATCATACACAATGCTAATACAAATGTTTGCACCATGCAAGGAATTGGACCTGCAACCATTGGACCTGCAACCATTGGAATTAAGCTGATTAACCACTAGACTAGATCCCAAAAAAATATTTAAGTATATCTGTCAACTGTCAAGTACCCATAATAGAAGCTCTGCTTAAAGGGCGTGGATGGCGCTGTGTGAATTGTCCCGAGCTATTATTATTATGATTATATAATTTTTACTTTACTTACCGTATATTTTCAACAATATCCCTTGGATTGTAGTTAGGTATCTTGGTGGACCAGCCTGTACCGATACCCTCAGCTCCATTCACCAACACCATTGGGATAATGGGTATATAATGAACCGGCTCAATTTTCTGGTTGTCTTCAAATTCATGCTGAGAAAATATTCAATTATACTTAAAATAGACTAATAAGCATAAAAATAAAAAAAATGTTTTTTAATTATCTATTAAAAATTTTACTAATATTATAAACGCGAAATTTTGTGAGTGGATGGATGGTTGATGTTGCTCTTTCACACAAAAACTACCGAATGGATTTTTGAGAAATTTTACAATAATATAGCTTATACATCAGAATAATATAGTTTATAAATTTCACGCAGGTGAAACCACGGGCACAACTAGTGTATAATACATTTTTAATAACTCCAAAACAAAAGTGCCTCTTTTCTAATTTCAAATCTACCTAAGATTATGAATGCACACTACATTACTTATATTTTCCGTGTGTACATTTCTTATGCTTTCATGCCTTAAATACTGAACCAAACATGAAATTATGCATATATACCTATATACATATATACCGACAAAACTAGATCGAAACATTATTTTTAAATTTAGTATCTTCAAAATAGACGGTAGGTAATAAAAAAAATATTATCCCAAAAACACAAACGATAATTAAGATATTAAAGGAACTTACAATCAGCAACGGATCATCATGTGGATGGAATATAAGTCTTGTGAGCTGCGACATAAGAGTGAAAATGTAACGAGGACTCGCAGAATCCTTGCCTCCGCTGAGTCGAGTACCAAACTGACCGCGCGGCTGCAGTAAGTTGATGTTGTTGGAACCTACGTAGTTCTGGGCCAAGTTCACGATGGTCATTGCGAGTGATTGTTCACCTGAAAATAACATGACATAATACTAATATTATAAAGCTGAAGAGTTTGTTGTATGAACGCGCTAATCTCAGGAGCTATTAATCCGAATTGAAAAATTATTTGTGTTGGGTATTCCATTTGTCGAGAAAGGCTTTAAGCTGTATAACATTACGCTACGAGCAATAGAAGCGAAGCATTAATCAGTGAAAATTTTGCAAAAACGGAAAATTGTTCATATTTGAGGATCATTAAATCAATCAATAGATTAACAACCAGAGTTTTGAAATTTTCCTATACATAAGTCATAATTACCGTGATGGTAAGCAGAATGTTCGGCGACGGAACCCGCCAGCTGGGCCACTTTAACTTCGCGTTTGTCGTTACGTTTTATACACGTAAAGATCACTTTCCGTTGACCAGGCTTCAAACCATCTATCATTGAAGGAATCGACCTGAAAATTGAGTAGAAAAATAACAAATCCAAAGATGTTCAAAGAAATCAAATATACATATTTAAAATAATATACGAAAAATGAATACAAATCAACAGTTAGGAAAAAACTAGTTACATTTTAAAATGTTATCTGAAATAAATTACAGTAGTAATCGTAGTTTAGAGAATACTTTAGCACATTTTTTTACCAACTGTTGAATATGACAACTGGATACCTACCTCACATTGTCACCATTGGAGAAGAGAACCAACTCCAAATTTACAAAATCCGAATAGGTGACAGCTTTAGTTTCCTTTGTGTATAAATATCTTTCCGGGAGACCAATCTCCTTTCTTCTCTTCACTTCGTCCATGTGACTTGTCAACCACTCCTTACGTTGGTCTGCCCCCTTCTTTGAAAATGCCAGTTCAATATGGTGATCATCAGTCGTACCACTGTACTTAAACCTTATTCTATGCCTATCCATATTCTGAAAGTATTCTTTAGCCTCCTTTGATGTGGAGGTACCCAAACCTTTGTAGTATTTGATATTATAGGTGTGATGGTTGTCTGTATCTTTCTTCCATTCTTCAAATTCAGGCAAAGAGTAAAATGATATCTCTTTATCTTTCTTAGTAGCTTTCACAATCGGTGTGATGAATTCCTCTAAAAACGGCAATTTGAGCAGTTCGGGCCAATTATGATGAATGAAATTGATGATCAAACCTTTGATATGCGAACCGTCCTGATCCTGATCAGCCATAATCATCACTTTGCCATATCTCAAAGACTTCAAGTCATCCATCGAGTTGTATTTTTTCTTATATTGTAACCCGAGGATTTTTATCAAGTTATTAATTTCCACATTCTCAAGCACCTGCTTGTGTGACGCGTCTCGTACGTTTAAAGGTTTACCCTTCAATGGGAATACTCCATAATGATCCCTGCCTACTACACTAAGTCCAGATACAGCCAAAGTTTTGGCTGAGTCTCCCTCAGTAAGAATTAAGGTGCAGAGATGCGCATTCCTCGTACCTGCGTCGTTTGCGTCCTCTAATTTGGGTATACCTTTAAGTTTACTCTGTTTCTTACCTGATGCCTTCACCAGTTCAGTTTGTGCCTTAAATTTAGCCCAATTCAATACAGACTCCACCAGTCCAGATTTGCTAACACCAGTTATAAATTTCTCAGAGAAATTACATTTCGATCCAAAGCTTTTCGCTTGAAGTGTCATGTTCTCTTTTGTTTGAGAGTCAAAGGTCGGGTTTACAATGAGACAATTTACGAACATCCACATATGATATTTTATTTGAGAAGGCTTGATATTCACACCTCCTTTATTTTTCTTTTTTAATACTTCTTGAAGACTCTTTACAACGCTATCAGATACAGTATCAATATGTTTGCCACCTTTAGTGGTAGCTATTGAATTTACAAATGAAACCTGTTGAAAACCACTGTCTGATAATGTAAGTGCGACCTCCCAGCGGTCGTTTACTTTCTCATATACTACTTTCAATGGTTGCCCATTTTCATCTTCCTTGCCTTTTATGTATAAATCTACATAGTCCTTAAATTTGTTTATTTTCAAACGTTCCCCATTTAAATATACTTTGACGCCTTGTGAGGACGCTGCTACGTCGTACGCGCGTCGCTTCATCAAGGCGACAATATCGTCCTCAAGTTTTTCCATTTTAAACTTAGCCAAATCTGGGCTAAATGTCACTTTTGTAAAATCGTCATCTTTTCCTGCTTCCTTAACCTTCGGTTCTGAAGCTTTCGTCATGTTGGATCCCCAGGTTTGCTTAAAATGTTTTTTATATTGTTTAGAGGCAGTTTCAACTGTAAACTTAGTTGAGAAAATGTTACAAAGTTTGGCACCGTAACCATTTCTTCCTCCCGTCACTTTTTCCTCTTCATCATTGTAGTTTGATGAGGTTAATAAATGTCCAAAAATCATGGTGGGCACATACATTTTCTCTTCCTTATGCATTACCACAGGAATGCCGCAGCCGTTATTATATATTGAAATTGTGTTCAACTCTTGATTTATGTCAATTCTTATTACGTCCATTTTTGAGTCTCTTTGTTTATTATCAGCTGCATTCACTAAAATTTCGTCATATATTTTGTATAAACCTGTAAAGGAAATAATTTTTGAGTCAGTGACATCACCTCTATTTATAATTTTATAAAATTACTAGCTGTCCCGGCAAACGTTGTTTTGCCTTAAAATAAAATAAATTTAGGGATGGACTACCCCTAACATTTAGGGGGATGAAAAATAGATGTTGGCCGATTCTCAGACCTACTCAATACGCTCACAAATTTCATGAGAATCGGTCAAGCCATTTCGAAGGAGTATGGGAACCAAAACTGTGACACGAGAATTTTATATATAAGATCTACTTTATGCATTATATAAATATGTTATTACATATCTACAACAAATTTGTATAGAATTAAGTAAGGCCACTGAAATGTTCCATAAACTTATTCTCTGTAGTAAATTTCCAATATGCTGTATATAAAAGACCATATACCTGGCACAAAATTGAGCTCCCTTTGTACCATGCATTCCTTTGTCTTGTCATACACCCACATTGTCTCTGTGGCCCGTTCAACAGACCCAATGTATGTGTCAGGTCGGAGCAGAATATGCTCCAATTGTGATTTCTTTTGGTAGATCTTCTCAATCGTAGCCTTTTGTCCTTTGGCAGGAGGCGCAGCCTCCACTGTGCCATTCTGGGTATTCATCTTGTTAAACATAGTCTGTAAACATGTATCTTGCATATTAGGATGTTAACAAATTATTGTAATGTAAATCATGGATATAAGCATCCTAAATATAATACAGTTTTGTAGAATAAATATAGTGTATACAAGTAAATAGTTTTGTGTAAATTAGACTAACAAAATGGCTATTGCTAATTCAGTTACAGTATGATTTGGTAGGGGTAAAAGGGATAAATGAACACAGAATTAACATTATCTCCTTGAGTAGAGAATTTGGGTAATCACAGTGTGAATAAAACTAAAATATATTATAACAATTATTAAACTACATAGTATATATACTATATTAATTTAATAAATATGAGAATGTATCACACATTACATTCTATTTTCAGACCGCCTCAGTTATCTAGTGGTTTAGCATACCTCTTCATTTCCTATAGGTGCAGGTTCAATTTATCGCACAGTACAAATAGAATAGAATGAGAAGAACTGACAAGAAACTCAGCTCATATTATTTTTAAATGAATGTTGTACATATTTGCAATAATACAGATTCAAATAAACCTTAATATAAAATTGTATGTGAACCAGTAGTCATAAAGACAAATTAAATGTATCCAGAGGTTCATTGTTTCATACCAGAGATAGTATCATAATACAATACTACAAAATTATTTTTAAAATTAGTAGAAATTACAATTAATTAGGTTATTCAATTGTTATTGAATGGGACAAGTGCAGATGTAGATGGTAATGCAAAGTTAGACAATTTAGGATTTAATTAAAGGTAAGGGTAAAAAAAATTGTAATCCTATGCAGCACATTGAGGCAGCATACACAAGATACTGGCAGCAATGCTTTTCAATAGCCTAGTATTACTTATTGTATATAAATGATCTACTCTATTCTCTATTGTTCTCTCTATCTCTATTGTTAGTTTATTTACAATACTCACAAAGTACTCACAGTACATATTGCACCACTAAAATTTTTATTAGCAGTTTCTGGTGAATCATAAATTATGATTATTTTATCAACATACTGCTATTGTAAGCACTCACAACATGTCCATATCATGTTTATAAGTACCTTGAAATGTTTTTTAATTTACCTTTTTTAATATTCCAATTTTAAACTGTACACAATGGAATAAATGTAAATTTCCTTATCTGACTCACTAGATATCCTTCACAATAAAATTAAAAATAAAAACTCATATGGATTCCAATATTGTGAATATAAAATCCATATCATAAGATGTATGATAATAGTTGTACTGTCACTGACCTAGCAATGTCAAGATGTATGTACAGTCATGAGCAATAATATGTAAACACTGTGAGAAAGGCATTTTAGGCGTTGTGTTGTGGTAGGTTTTGTGTGTGACATTATTGGGAAATCCTATAGTTTTATATTACTGTATAATAATGTATAATCATAATTAGCACACAACTTTATTCACAAATACATAATTATATTTTTTTCAAGTATTATTAATAATTAAAATTTTATTATAATCAGTCAGAGAGGTCAGGGTATTAAAATGTTACAATAATATTATTAACATTCGTGTGTAAAAAATTTATGATGAATTAAAAATTGTAAACTTAAAAAATGTGATTTACTTCAATTTGTTTCTGCTTTTTTAATATAAATATTATTTAAAAGAGAAAATATGTCCTTTGTGACATTTTATGTTAAGCTGTGATACAGATTGATAATTTTCTAACTTTTTATTCGAACTACACTGTTACCAACGTCTTAATTGGCATGACTCTTTTTATTAAAATAAAATAATTGGTCCAGTCATATCAGAAACCGGCAAGAACATATAGACAGAATTTTTTTATATAAATTTATTTTATTGTTTTTTATTATCTAAGTACCTTAAATATCTTCATATGCACTTAGTAAAAAGCTATAGATGAAATTACAAAGGGTCACTTAGATTTTATTTATTTCTATAGATATATATATTATAATAAAAATGAATCAAGCAAACAATTCAGCACCTAATCATGAAGCAGACTGTACTTGTGTAGCATTAGTATGGTATTGATGTTCAGGTCTTTTTCAGACAATAATTTCTGCTATCATCTTAATTTAAAAAGTATAAAGCTGTTATAAGTTTCTGAACGTTTACATAAAAATACCCTTTTAAAAACAAATTATGTAAATGAAAGGTAGTTCAAACCGACCTTTACAAAAATTCTCAATGTTAAATAAAGTAATTTAGAAATTTATATGCTAATTGTAACGTGCACAGAATCAATATTGAATTGATATTATACATAGTCACTTCTTACTTTGTACGTAACATATTAATAAACAAGCTGATTTCAATATGCTCAAGAACATATTATTTTTACTGTCCTTATTATTACATATATAAACTACATATATTTCCAATAACAGAGGTATACAAGTAAGAAACTAAACATTAGCATATGGACTACAACAAATAATACATATTTGACCGTTACAACATAAAATGCCGCCAATAACCAGCGCTTACCTTTATATCAGCCATCTTGCTAAGAGTACATAAAAACCGTGAGCGATCAACGCTAAATGCTGTTTGCTTCAATATAAAGACAAAATTTAAGCTACCAATATTGGCTTTTCCAAAATATCATTTTTAAAATCGTAAATAACAATTTAGTAAAACTGAGATGAAAGGACGAAGACGCCGATGTTCTACCATAGACAACAGCTTAAATGTTTTTTAAAATGAAATTCTGTAATTGACAAAACATATTTTTTGTCTTTGGCCAGGTGAAAAAAAATAGAGACGATATGTGTAGTTGTAAGGTTTTAAATAATCATCCATGACTAAAGATACTCATTTTATTTTGTCAATTAGGTATTACAAGATTGTACAAACAAATTCAAATATCATCAGTAAAATCTTCTTATTTTGCAAACTTTACCGGCATGCAACATATTAAATATTATTTATAAAAAAGTTTCTGTCAACTAACAATCAATATTAAACTTTTTTATATTTATTCACACATCAATTGTTGATTTTCTAAGTTGGATTATTACATTATCAAAAATATACGAAATATAAAATGTTTTAGTTAAATATGTTTCCAAATAAGAATATCAAAGGATATTCATAATTTGACTGTTTGAAGAAATGTCTAGAAAACAAGAAACTAAAAATAACACTTATTTGTTGTTTTTCCCGATTATATAAGGTAGTAAACAACTCTAGTATATCAAAATTGTCAGCCAACTGTCAAATTAATGAAACTAAATTTAGAGGTTATAAAATCGTTCATATACACTATATTTGAAAATTGAATTTAATATAGATAGGGTTTTTAATATTTCCCGATCAAACACCGACTATTTAACGCTAGTACCGAATTCATATTTTAGGTTGTAAGGAAATTATTGAATCATGGTACTTTTGCCGTGTGCTATAAATACTTTAAGAAGGTGCATATCGCAGTCGCAGCGCTTCCTTCAGAACTACAGGGATTTTGTAAGAGGATCTCAAAAAGCGGCATTTAGTTCAGTAACTACCCGGACGATACATGATGTAAATACAAATGTAATAAAAGATGTTATTTTATTTAAATATGAAAATCCCAAGTTTTATATGTACATGAACGTTTTTGCAGTCGTCCAATATATGTTTTGGTCGTACTTAGGTATATTTGCATTTTCTTCGTTGAGGGATGCTCCGGTGGATGAATCTAAGATCACAGAGGACACCCCATGGTTTAGAAAGATAAATTTAGGAGAAAATAAATATAAAAATGGTTTAGGAATATTATCTGTAGCCATTGGTGAGTACTTAGTGCTTTATCGTTGATATTAATTATGTATGTACGTCACATAACATCACACTCTCAATATGTTGCCATTCCCAAGATAATGAGATGTCATGCCCCTAATCATTATCTATAATTTCACTGTATAAACTGCACACTCAACCAAAACAGCTTACAAATCAAGCTGCTTGGTGGCAGGCAGGCAGTATAGACAGATAACTTTTACAGTCTTCATTTGATTACTGATACTGGTGTTGGTGCTGTGATATTATAAATAGTGAGGTTATTATCACATATAAGAATTACACATGAATTTGTGTGTATGAAGATACAAATAAAATTCTTATCGGTCACATATACTGCATATCACATCTCTGTGAGTACCTGTATCAATTTCTGTTGCCAATAGTTTGTAACAAAGTTATCAGTTCTAAAATATGACAATGGAATTACAAGGTATGGAACAATAACAGCTTAGTCCTAGAAAAAAGTATCACTGATGTTAGATATTTAAAACCTATAAGGAGACAGATGGCACCAACAGATCACAAACCGTATATGGTGGAAACATATCAGAGAGGCATATCCCTAATAGTGGGCTCCCCCATGCTTCAGAAGAAAGATAAAGATTACATCGATCGCTTCAGTATTTAACTTAAATATTAAATTATACTTGAAATTTTTGCTCCTGTAGATTCCGTCTACTTATCTGTGCTATTATAATAGTGTTACTAATGTGAATGATGTTATTTACAGGCACAGGTTCCTTAGCAATCATATGGATGTACACATTAAAATCAGTTAGATTTCTAATCCTTAACAAAGGTGGGAGGCATTTAACATTTGTCACATATTCTCCATTTGGTAGAAATCGTATAATAAAGATACCCATTGAGAATGTATGCTGCAAAGAAAACAGGTCTAATGCAAGAGTTCAGTTGCCACTTAAAGTAAAGAATCAATGGATGCATTTTATGCTTGATATGAGGGGAGAGTTCAGGAATCCACTGCTATTTGATTCTACTGCTGGATTGATGAGGAGATGGTGAATATCAACATGCAGTAGGAGGCTGTGCTGTGGAATGGCTAGAACATCTTCGAAGATCCATTGGAGTGACAGTTCTCACTGACTCATCAAGTCAGGTGAATTTATGCTCTGGTTTCAAGTTTGTTCTCATATTCGAATAGCATTTATTCATTTTGTAAATAAAGTATATAGTTATATTGTTTACCAAGTATTTTTTCTTACCATTTTCCATTACAACATTAGTTCCAATTAATAACTATAAAGTTTTGTAACTCCAAACTAAACAAGAGATTATGTGTTTAAAACTAAATTCTCTTATGTTTCTGTACTACAGTTTTTGTCTAAGTTCTATCTCTGATGATGGTCCATGGTGGACAATCTCTAATTTATTTAATAACTTTTAGAACTTGATCACCCATCTCACTTTATTTTTATGAGAAAAAACTTGTGAATTGATGTCATTATAAAGATGTTAAGGGTCCATAAAAAAATTTTTTTTGTTTATGAGAAAAGTCTTTATTGTTTATATATAATTAGTGTAACGAAAAAAATACGTCTGTCTCAACACAAAATGAACATAAAGTACAAATAATAACAAAAAATAAATATTTACAATATTCTTTCCTATATACAACATCAGACTGTTACAAGTGCGAGCGAATTTTCGATTGAGATAACAAATAAGTACTTAGACGAGTTCGCTATGAGAAAACAACTGTGTTGATATTGTGATCATATTGTTATACACCATCTCTACCTCTGAAATATTAATCAACGCAATAAAATGGACATAATAAACCAATGCAAACTTTAGTATTGGCTGGAAATCTTTGTGTCTTGTAACCATACAATTACAGTGAACAATATTTATTTATAAAGTAATTATCACATTAGGCTGACAAAATACAGTCGGCCTGGCATTAGCGAGCTAGTTAACAACTAGAACGTTAGTTGGATTCGGGGAATCTGGGCGACTGTATATTAGCGGCTTTCGTAAATATGGTCCAGACATCAGAGGTAAATATAGTGTTAAATCACTTACAAATTTACTCAATATAGCGATAAAATTTTACAATCAGTCATACAAATACTTCTTACATAAACTACACGTAAAATTCTTGTATGCTCGCACTACTAATAAGTAATGAAATTATAGACAAGAGTGATTTTACAATCAACCAAAGGGGAGAAATTACTTGCTTATTCTAATCATCTACTGACAATTTTAAGTCTACAAATGCTCAACTAGCCTGCTACAACAAGCTAATAGGGCCAACGGGGAGTCCATTCTCACAAAGACAGTTTATCAAATTATGAATGGTTTACATAAAATGGCGCGAATTGGTGTATATTGAAGAGGAGGCACACAACTGAATATTGAATTCGCCATAATGCACTCAGTGATTTGTATCACATCCTATTATCTTCCACTAGTGCACCGTTAACTTATATTATTAGCGCTTTTTTCGGACACCTTGGAGGACTTATTGGCTGAAGGCCAACTCCCGCCTTACGGAGCAAAATTATTAGCGCTGACGAGATCATTATACTGTCATCATTCATTAATTACATTAAAAGTGTTAATATTTCTGCAGGTAATTTTATTTTTGTAACACATTGTTAAATCGCACCATTTGATGTAAAACATGCATAGGTAATTCATTACACTTGTGATATGTGAATAACACTGCATCAATGGTTTTTTCTTTGCACCATCGGCCCTGGTATTAAGTACAATATTCTTATTTACAAGGGCAATAACACATTAGGCGATGACGATCAATGTTGCCAATTAGTGATTAGACAATAAATTATTCCAAACTACTTATTTTGATGTCAAAAAAGCTATTTATTGATATCAATATATGTAAAAACTTCGACGTGATATATTCGCTGAGAGTGCACTAGGCAGTGCCTAATTTATGGTCTAAAAATTACATGTAGAGTAAATGCCATTGATTGTATTTAATAATAGTCTTATCTGAAATTTGTACAGTTTCTCTGCGTTACAAACAATAAAAAACATAAATTTTTCATCCATAACGATCGCCTAATGTATGAAATGCCTAAAATTATTCTGACAGTTACTAGCAACAAATTTCGAGTCAAGCCGCTGTTTGCACACAAGCTGTGCGCGACTAAACCCGATTACATGAGACTTTACTCGTGTTTTGATCTTTTTACAGATAATTAAAATTAAGTCACTTATATTCAAGCAAATGTTCACAGCGTCGCTTGCATGGATTTGCATAGAGGCGTTGTAATAACCCTATAGGCAATAAATAACAATATACAAAAAAGTTTGTTTAAAATAATCGTATTAGTTTTTTCGAAATACATTTTGAATAATTATGGGAAATTATTTCATAAATATATGTGTAATTTTTTTTCTCACTATTGAATTTGTATTTATATTATAATATATGTATAATATATAATGCATATTATTGACATGTAATGTTAAAAAATCAACCTATTCTTTCATAAAGCTATCTGATTTCCTTCATGATTTGTCCAACCGTTATGACAGAATCAAACATTTATAATATTAATTTAGTACTTATGACTTATTTGCGTCGTAGGTGTAAATAATCACTAAAATTCTTACTAATTTAGTTAATTCTCTTTTTATTACAATTTCTTCAAGTTTTACTTTTAATTTTCATTCTCTATGCAGTGAAACAAATACTATTTTTTAATTCCATTCCAAATATGATAACTACTTTAAAATGCATGCACAACCAGAATAAGCGTCCAAATTTGTTTTCAACCTTTCACCAATTACAATATTTTTAAAACGAATATTTATAAGGTTTTTTTTATTAGTATGTAAATTTAGTGATACAATACATATTACACAATTAACTTTGTACGCTTCGCATACTGTTGTATTTATAAAAATATATACACATATGATATTCTTCGGTTTCGTCTATGCATATTTTATTATTTTTATACCTCTTGATTAATTAATTCTTTCAACATTAATTAGGCGAAGAGACGCCGCTTTATAACGATTCGTTGTGGATAGTTGACCAGCCACAAATAACGTCACGCGAATTTCGTGTGGGAGTTTATAACCCCTCTCCCCCTTGTCACAGTTAGTCACATTTATGAGAACCCCTCCCTAATGCGATCTATCATATTTTGAAAGTTTGACTATATTCGTTAGGAGGAAGGGGATCGTTAGTAATGACTCCGGAATTAACAATGTACCATGTCAGCTTGAATCTTAAACCCCTGGAAACCGTCATAACTTCCTGATAAATTTCCTACGATGGACTAACTGACCAGACCAGTTCATCTTATCATTCTCCACTCCACTGGTGCCCCAACAGCGTGAACCGTTAGCGCAGGAGGGTACACCAATTCATTAACATCTATAAAGAAAACTTTTCCCTCAATAGTTAAAATTTCGTGTTAATACTTATAATATATAACATTTTGAAATGTCACATTTCAAAATTTAGATCCCCTCCCACCCTTTGTCACCCCCGCTTTAACGTGTGACGTCATTCATAGCTGGCTCAAGTTACGCGACCACTAATTATAATAATATCCGATGTACCACGCAACACAGTTCACGACTATTGCCTATGGCATTACATTGAGTCATAGACAAAGACATGAAATATTGGCACCCACACATTTCATCCGTCAGTCTCTTATTCGTAGTATTTTCAGTTCAATTTTCTAAACAAATGAGAAACGATTTTAACTTACCTACAATTTACAGCCATAATTATAAATGGCGTATCTTTCGAGATAAATAATAACTTTCAGTATCATTAATTATCCTGCCTTACATTCGTTTTACATAGACAAACAACATTAATTTTTTTAGCTTTACCATAGACACTTACATCACGCCTCTATAAGTCAACACTTATGGTAGCTAATTACTTTTAACAATATTGTATGTATGCAACATGTCAGATAAAATGCACAAATATTCAAATAAAATGCACAAATATTTGACAAACATAAAAATTCTGAAAAATAATCACGTTCTTCGTTTATATAGTTTACTTAAAATCACGTGAAGATAAATAAATCGTATAATCATCTTATATTTCAAATTATATTCATCAACTTTGTACACAACAGAAACAACAAACTGTGCCTAAAAAGTTAACATTGAACTTAATTAATTTCAATAATATTGTTATTAGTTATAAGCTGACAGCAAACATGCTCAAACATTGTTGGCGATAGTAACCGAAAAAAGTCATTTAAAATCACGTGATAATAAATAAACCCTACAACCATCTTATTGCCAATAAGATAGCCACCAATATTCTAGCTTAAACATTGCTGATTTGTTCGTTTGCCTAAAATTAGTCCATTCCATGTCAGATCCGTCGATATGACAATACGTGGCTTACACTTAACTCAAATAACGGTCTACCTCCCATCGATTTGGCCAATATTGGTGATGTTTGACGAATTTCTCCGCCGCGGCTATAGTTTGGCCGCTGTAGACCTGTACATAGGTCTGCTTCTGTTGCAAATTCTTCTCCACTTAATACCGTGGCGTGCGTCAGTCAGACAGGTACCTAGTCCTCGATATTTCGTCTCCATCATCATCGCGGCCAGGACTGATGCTGTCAATCTCGTCGACTTCCTCTAAGTTCTTCGTGCTTGGGTTGCATAGCCTGTAATGTTGAAAATTTTATTAATAAGTTTGTTTGTTTGTAGTCTGTTTTTTATATGTATTATACGCATTGACAAAAATATGTATCTAAGTATTTATATCAGTCGTCTAGTAGCCATAACACGAGATCTGCTTAATTTGGGACTAGATGGCGCTGGTGTGAATTGGCTTGGTTTATTATTATTATATTAATATTAGATACTGCAGTTAGTCCGACTATTTAAAATTGACACTTCACTGTCTACCATTACCATTAAAACATTTTTTCCGTTATAAATAATTTTATTATATATTTCTACAACATATACACCTTGTTAGACTTACAATAAGAATCACTGGCAGTTTTATATATTCTTTTAAAATAAAAGTGTTCTTTATATATATTATTTTGTTATACCACTTTTGTCAGTGAGCTCTGCATTAACGTGTACAAGTCAATCTCTATTTGTATAATTTATTACTCACCTGCATTTGCAGCAGACAATGCAGGGTGCAGCAAGCAGCAGAAGTGGACTGGCGACCAGGAGCAGTAAACCAAATCCGGCAAATATACCTACAACCTGAAAATAACAAGAAAATTCATGTTTTATATACCGCCATTTCATTTCATTTATTCTTAACATTCTTAATCATAAATACATTTATTGGTAGTTTTAAAAAAAAATGTAATATATAGTATTATATTATACCTGTCATAAATTTAGCATATAAGTAATTTACTGTATTATATACGGTCCTGTGTGCATAAAGCTATCCTGCTTTTTAGCACACGGTCACATAATTTTAATTGTCAGTCATTGTTGTTTTTAATAATAAATAAATAAATAAATAAATAAATTTATATTCATACAAAATTTTATGAAGAAGCTAAAGTTTGTCGGTTTTATTATATAAAAAGACCTGATTTAATATGTTTACATAGTATAAAACAAATAAGTCTATTCGTTTATATCTTTTAATTACGCAACGGATTAAGTGATTCAATAGAAAGGTTCATATATGGCCTGGCTTCGCACGGGTACTCTAACTATTAAAGAAAAAAGTTCAAAATCCGTTGCGTAGTTTTAAAGATTTAAGCATACATAGGGACGGACAGACAGCGACAGCGACAGCGATTTTGTTTTAAACTATGTAATGAAATGATGTAGGTTTATATGGTTACATTGGTACTATACCTGTGCGCGATGCCATAGTACGGAGGCGCGTGAATGCCCCAATTTATTCTTGCACGGACCCTTGTCATAATGGCGGAGTAGAAAGTCATCCTGAAAATAAGGAGAAAATGGCGTTAAAAGTAAAACTAATACGTATTATCCTATATTCAGCACGTCATGCTGTTCAACCGTCGACTAATTCAAGCGCCAAATACCTACCATATTTTGTATGCTGTATTTCAGGTTTTATTTTTTCTAAGGATGATAATGGAATGGTGGATTCGCCTGCGCTAACGGTTTACGCTGGCGGGACACCAGTGGAGGATGACAAGATGAGCATGAGGTCAGGTCATTTAGCCCAACGTGATAAATTCACCAAGAATTTATCACGATAGTTTCCAGGGGGAACCGCGTGGAGGTCAACCTGACATGGTACATTGCTAGCAATGGGATTATTAGTCCACATTACTAACAATCCCCGTCCCCCCTGTATTTCAGGTTGTTAAAATAGAAATAAACATAATTGTTTACGCCTTTTAGTGAGAGGGTCTTGATGTTGTAATTAACTCGGATATTCCAGGCTAGTTTTTTAATTTACTTGATAGTGGTTTACAATGGTTGCGTATGATAATACATATAATCGTTGACAGATTTTGAATATGAACTTGTAACGGTTAGTGTATTGTCTCTGGCCCGTTGAAATACCAACGTTCCAGGGTTGCCATATTAAAATAATATATTGGGCCAAATATAGTACAACCGCGCCTGAACAATAATTTTTATTTATATATACATTATATAGACCCTTTTGAATAGACATATTGTTTTATTCTATCACTCAATCGTAACGCAGACTCGTCACAATGAGAATGAGCTAGAAACTTGCGTCTTAACTTACTGTTTTAAATAAATATTTATCTGCATTACATTTTTAAGATTTTGTGTGAATACAACCGTGAGAACGTCAGCATATTTTCTATTTTAATCATAAGAAAAAAGTCTAACCTTCCTAACTTTTTGGCGTCCATTAACAAATCCACCAGTTTAGTACAGTAAGTATAGTTGGCAACCCTAGGTGAAGTTTGCACTGGAACTAGTCTTGCCAACTATACTGTTTTAAACAGTATTATACAATTTTTATCTAAATTATACTTTTTACTGTTGAACAAAAATAAAGTATAAAATACAGTTTACAGCATCAAAATCACAGCATTTACTGAAAGATTTTTTTCAGTAACGCATGCCAAGTGGCGGGATGATAAAAATAGAGCATCTGTTAATTCAATAAAAATTCATTTTTTGATTTTTGTTAATTTTTGTATAATATGAAGAATATTAAAAAGTATTTTAGAAAAATGAACAGTTATCAGAATCAACAGATCTGAATATACTTGATTTATTGTAAAAAAAAGTTGGCAAGCGTAACCGCATCAGATCTTATCTGTACATATCTATACATATAAATAAAATTACAGTGTCTGTTTGTAATATTAAAATAACCGTTTTCTTTTTTACTACATCCATATAAATTCGGTTCAAAATAACATTTTTTACAATTTTTATCTGTCTGTCTATTTGCTCCAGCTAATCTCTGAAATGGCTAGACAGATTTTGACGGAACTTTTTTTTTGGCAGGGGGCTAATGTAATAAGGAGTAACTTAGGCTACTTTTATTTTAGAAATCGAAAGTTATACCTTCGGAATTTCCTTAAATTCTTTCTGTGGGTTGACAGTGTTGTCAATTTGCCGGATTGCGGATGATTTTTGCGATATGTGCGTTTTAATAAAACTGTAATGTCCACTGCTGAGCAGTGGAGCTTCATTTTTTTATTTGCCACAGAGCCCTTGGTTACTTAACTACGCCACTCCTTGGGACTAGATGGCGGTGTGTGAATTATCTAAAGATATTATTATTATAGCTCTGTCAACCCCGTAATAAATACGGCGTGAAGATTCTATACTCAATATAAACTAAAGATTTTTATTAGAAAACACCCAGACCGATACAAACAATTATACTCATGAATACAATTGTTTGTGCCGTGCGAGGAATCGAACCCGCGACCATCGGTCGTAAAGCGGTGTACTAGACCGCTAGACCAACGAGGTCGTCAAGATAAACACAGACATTTAATTTGCATATTCATTGTAAGGTAGCAACTATGTAAGATCTATTATCAAGGTAAATATTATCAAATAAATACTAACTATGTAGGAGTACCTAATGCTCTATGCATTAGGTGTTTGACTACAAATCAAGGTGTCGTGAGACGCGGTGTCAAGGAGACGTTGCTATTGAAATGGAAATCTTCTTTATCTTTACATCTTTTCTTTACATATAATAAAATCGTGACGAGAAAATGTCTGTGTTAACGGCTCACATAAAAACGGCTGTAGCAATTATAATAGAATGAACTTTTCACAAAATACATTATTAAATATTAGTATTATATTATTACAATAATATAAAAATATTATTTTTATATTGTTGTCGTTTGATTATCATTAATAGATTGTGACTATCAAAGTACACACGTTAGGATAAATGTGTGTTTGTAATTTTAAATTAATAGATTTTCCACAAAAAGCATTTAAGTATATATGGAAAATACATTAAAACATTGTTTGAAAAAATTTAATGTCAGTCTGTTTGTTCTTACTAAAATCTAAAACGGTTGGACTGATTTTTTGGACTTCAACTCGCAGATAGCTAATATTATACGGAGTAAGTAACATAATTATTCTACTATTACAATATTTTGAAATTTTTATTTAAAAAAAAAACGAATGCCACGCGAACGAAATCGTGGGTAAGCTAGTATTAATATAAAAACGTTCTGTACTCGTTGTACATATGCTACCCTGACAAAATGATGGCAATATAATAGTTTTAGAATGTTCAGCACTTAGTTATTTTACAAGTCATTAACAGGTATGTAGGTACTCGTATTTTTATAGATATCAGGTATCTGTTAAAATTTTAATTGCAGGCAGATTCCATTATTTTTCCAATTCGCGACTGGGTAACATAGTCCTAACTATTACAATGTTCTGGAATGTTTGTTTTAAAAAAAATCCATGCGGTGAAGACTCGGATATCAGCTAATATTAATATAAAAACGTTCTGTACACGTTGTACATATGCTACCTTGATAACATGATGTTAATATTATTGTATTAAAATGTTATTGTTTTCTCTTAATTTTTTTTGGGATTTTTGTACACAAAATTTGACGATGACAATCCCATCGTACAGCACTTAGCTGTTTTACAAGTCACATGTACGTACTCGTATTTTTATAGATATCAGGTATCTGTTAAAATTTTAATTGCAGGCAGATTCCATTATTTTTTTAATTTGCGACTGGCTTGCCAGCTCAAACATTTTAAGCATTCTTAATGGCCACTTTGGCCAGTTTATGGATCCAATGACGTCAACAGCGGCACGCTATTTATGTTGTAAGTAGAATATTCAAATTAAAATTTTTGTCCACTTATTTTATTTTATTGTATAATTTTTATTTTATTTTTATGCATTCAGTAAATAAATAATAAATAACCTTGTACAATTAACGCAGTGCCATCTACTCCCTCGGTAAGCAGAGCTTGAGTTATACAAGACAGCTGATATAAATACTTAGATTTTTTTGTAAATCCGTACATAATATACATAGAAAACAACCAGACCGATACAATCATACTCATGAATATAAAAGGTTTGGCACCGTGCGAGGAATCGAACCCGCGATCACAAGTAAACCGATGTGCTAAACCGCTAGACCACCGAGGCCGTCATTCATCTACTTGTACTTGTACACTAGTAAATGAATAGCACCACTGATTTTTCCTCGTTGAAATATTGCCATTTTCCATTAGTTCTCTCAGTTTGTTTGCTATTGCAGTTAAATAAAACTATCACCATCATTCGTATAACAATGTTTAAACAATGAAATACGTCTATAAAGGCTAATGTAAGTATCAACCATACTTGGTATTAATATTAAAATAACGTAAAATCATTAAGGTAATGTAAAGTCAAATGAATAAATAGTCAAATCTGACAGAAAAAAATCATCTCCTTAGGTATACATATCAAAGCTGTTGACTGAACAAGACATGTCAATATTATATTAAGAAAGTCAAGAGCGTCGCGGTCTAGTTGTTTACTACGAATTAGACCTCAAAAGGTCGCGAGTTCGTATCTGGTAACAAACAAAACAAAACGTTTGTGTGTCAAGTTACGAGTATCTTAATCTTAATAATATTATAAACGCGAAAGTTTGTAAGTATGGATGTTTGTTACTCTTTTACGCAAAAACTACTGAATAGATTTTGATGAAACTTTGCAGTAATATAGCTTATGCATCAGAATAACATACATGCTATATTTTTTATTAAAATTTAACGCGAAACCGCGGTCACTGCTGCTAGTAACATTATAAACGAGAAAGTTGTGAGTATGGATGTTTGTTACTGTTTCACGCAAAAACTACTGAACGGATTTTGATGAAACTTTACAGTAATATAGCTTATGTATCAGAATAACATGTAGGCTATATTTTATATTGAAATTTAACGCGAGTGAAACCGCAGGCATAGCTAGTATGTAATAAACCGCATTAACCTGAGGAACGGTAGCAGACTTGGCCTTTGCCCCGATCTATTAAACTATAGAAGATAGAATATAAATTTATTTGTATTATACATAAAAGAGAAAAATTACTTTTAGATATCAGATTTATTTATTTATAGTTCTTATCAATTTCATAATTGATAATTTGGTTATTTCTTTTGACAATCTATTATACATTAGCTTCAATAGAAGTCCCTGGTTAATATATTTTGCTAGTTTTTTTGGTATAAGAAGTTTGGATTTATTTCTTATGTCTTATTTGTTTTAAATTTTCCTTATTTTTGTCTAACTCATCCTTCATGGATATACAAAAAGTGACACCACCATCCCTGCTTAATATATGTATTTTGCTAATCTTTTTTTTTTGTATAACAAGTTTGTCTTTATTTCTTATATCATAATTATGTTTTGTTTTAGATTTTCCTTATTTTTGTATGTCTAACTATGAATGAAATATAAAGAGTGACACCACTGTCTTAATTTGTCACAAAATATTTTCTGACTGCTGTCTGTTGATTTTTACCAATAATTTATTTATTGTTTATTGCACTATTTAAAATAAATACAATTGACGAGTTTAATGCTATATGTCACTCTCTACTTACCAGCTAACCATTAGGTAAAAACAGAAAGCGTTTGAACTAATTATGCGTACTGATCTTTTTTTGTAGCTAAGAACTTGTATATCTGAATCAACATACCCAGCTAAATAGGCATTTCAAGTTTACCACGACGTCGACAGATTTCAATGCGTCTGACTACCTCGTATTGAATAATACCCGTAAAGATATAATTATCATTAGAAACTTACGTCGAGAGATGCGAGGCAGTACCAGCAGAAGACATGCTTGCATCTTTTGCACATCATCTGAGCGCAACCTTCGTCTTTCTCGATGGGCACGCGGCACATTGGGCAGAGCTTGATCAGCTCTGAGTCAGGCAGCAGAGGCGCTCCAGCACCACCCATGGAAGAGGAGGCGGCGGCTGCTTCGCAAGTAAGACCGCCGTGCCACTGCAAAGGAAAAGAAGCAAGAAATTTAACATCAGTCTTACCCGCCATTTCATCTGCTTTTATAAGATATAATACTCTATGTCCGTACATCTCCGTACGTCTCCTGATACAATCTATTATAAGATCAAATGTTATTATTATTTAAAAAAAATATCGCAAGACAATTCACTCAGTGTCATCTACTCCCAAGTTAAGCAGAGCTTGTGTTATTGGTACTATACAACTGATATAAATATGTAGATACTTCTTTTGTAAATACATACATAATATAAATAAAAAAATACCCAGAGCGATACAAATAATCATACTCATAAATACTTGATATGTATGCTTGGACTGTGCGAGGAATCGAACCCACGACCATTGGAAGTAAGGCGGCGTGCTAAACCGCAAAACGTAATGCTGTCAAATCGTAATGACTAGAATGATTTTTTTATATCACGTAGGTGGCAAACAAGCGGCGCATCTGATGGTAAACGGTTACCGTAGCCTATGGACGCCTGAAACACCAGGGGTGTCACATGCGCGTTGCCGACCCTTAAGAAACTTTAATATACCCTTCTTGAAAAACCCCATGCTGTAGTCTTTCGAGAAAACCTCGTTAGGATGAAGCTCCTCTGAATACTGATAGTACTGACTAATGATATCGAGCGATGTAAAGAATATACATCCACAATAACAAGAACACATCCCGGAAAACATAAAACCACTCCTAAAAACGAATATACGAGTACTCTTTAAAATCACTAAAATTACTGACAGAATAAATCCGAATTGTAAAATCCTTTACGGTCTCAGGCTTATCAAATATTTCCTAATTTATATTGCACTCATGTCACGGCCATTGACATAAAACACTCAATAAAATAAAACCGGCAAAGTACGAACCGGACTCACATAACCAGGGTTCCGGACAAATATTACACATATTAATCTATATTATAATAAATACCAGCTTAAAAAACGTAATGTATATTCCTTTATTATATGCATGTATTATATTTATCGCTGACAATATTATGTGACTGCATTAAAAATGAATGCATAGCAGTTTCTATGTTGATTATCGCATGCCTCTTACTTGTTATTGTGTAATTATTTATGTAAAAAAACATATATTCAAAAGAGTAACACACAAGTTTCTTGCACATTCTTCTTGTGATGTATCTACGTTCCGAATGAGTAGTAAAATCAAATATATGACTATTTAAAAGTGCCTGTACTGAGTTTATTTGAATAAAGATTGTTTCTACTTTATAAAGTTTTTTTTTGTAGCAGGGACATATTAATAATTAGGCAATAATTGGGTTGCGGAGCGAGCAAAATCCGCGGGTCCCCGAGGTGGTGTAGAAGCCATGCTTGATAGAAAAAATCTAATATTAATACACAATTATCTCATAATAGTGTTTAATCAATTTCTGAAACTACATGTCATATATTTTTAGATATCGATTACTTAAATGATAAATGATAAACGTGCATGACAATAGTCGTTCAGGTACGGGATTTTCATCATAGACACATATATATAATGTAAATAAACTGGCATTTATAAAAAAGAAAATTCAGTTGAATGTCGGCCTCGGTGGTCTAGCGGTTGGACTAGCACACCGCCTTACTTCGACGGTCGCGGGTTCGATTATTAGCACGGCAAAAACATTTGTATTCATGAGTATGATTGTTTGTATCGGTCAGGGTGTTTTCTATGTATAATATGTATGTATTTTCGAAAAAAAGAATATTTCCATGTTTTTGTATCAGTTATCTAGTACCCATAACACAAGCTTTAGCTAGCTTATCTCAGGTCTAGATAGCGCTGTGTGAATTGTTCTGAGATTATTATTGTTATTAGTCGAGTAAGAAACTCAGTTCTTCTCAATTAAATCTATATACTGAACTGGATGGTAAAGAAAAAAAAATACAGTATAGAAACTTAACATTTATAAGCGGCTAAAATATCCTACAAGAATAAATGATTGATTTGATGAAAAAACCATATTCGTTGAACATGTTACGGGCCTCGGATAGTTACACCATTGGTGGCATTCTCATTTTTTTATGTAATTGAATAGTTAGAATAATTTCTAATAATGATGATATGAATAAACCAATAGCAATTTAACCTTAGATGATTTCTAGAATAACGAACTGTGATATACGAACGGGCGGATGGACAAATACCAACCATAGGTGTTCCGTTTCACAATTTGGTTTCGGAACCCTAAAAACTAAATAAACAATAAATAATGGCTTCGCGCCGCGTTACGTTGGAATCAACAGCGAGTGCCCTTTAGCTTTAGTATTTACGCAACGCTTCAATAAACAAATATAATGCTAAATTTACTTCACCGTATATCCGCTTGGAGTTCTTTATGTTTTCTTTTATAACGGGACTCGGTGGACTAGTGTTTTAGCACAGCGAATAATTTCCGATGGTCGCGAGTTCGATCCTCGCACGGTCCAAAAATTAGTTTCGATGAGTACGATTGTTATTATAGGTATTTTAAGTATTTATATCTAAAAAATATTATAGTTTGGTGTTTCTACTAGTTTTTGTATTATTTTTAGTATTTGCATCAGTTGTTTAGTACCTATAACACAATCTCTGTTTAGTTTGTGATCAGATTGCGCTGCGTGAAACAACCTGAGATACTATTATTCCACTATTTATTATATGGTAAAGTCTATACCTAGATTTTTTGTACAAAGACATCTGCGTGGACATCTCTGTCGCACCTCAGGACTATTACTCTCTCTAGAAGTTTCCTATAGTAAGTGCTTTATAAAGAGGTAGACGTGACTTTTTTTAAGGGATGATAATGGAATGGTACTATCGCCTGCGCTAAGGATTTACGCTGGCGGGGCACCAGTAGATAATGATAAGATAAACATGAGGTCAGCTCAGTTAACCAGCGGGAACCACGTGGAGGTCAGCGTAATATGGTAAATTATAAATATATAATATGGTAATAAAATCCGTGCTGATGTTCATATATTGCACATCCTGTATAATACTGGACTAACTAAAAATTATTTTTTTTGTAAATCTACCTTTAAAGGCTAATTCCAAAAAGGGCAGTAATAAATAAATTCCTCAAATTCGAGAGAAAAATAGTTTATTAGACAGTTGGCAATTTATGAATAAGAGGAAAACTAACTCAGTATGTCTGATAATATATGCGTCATCAAAAATAACCTGCAAAGGCAATTTGCAGAGCGAACGCGTGGGCACAGGTAGATGCCAAGCTTACTTCTGCATAGGCAGTACTGCCATATGAACGTCTTCATTCCCCCACACTTTGTCCAAAAATACCCATAATTCAAGAAATATTTTGTTGATCTTACTAACATTATAAACTTACTTACTTCCTTATCTTACTATTATTATAAACGCGACAGTTTGTCTGTTTGGATGATGTTTGTTATTGTTTCACGCAAAAATCCATACGATTTTAATTAAACTTTACAATAATATAATTTATACATCAGAATAACACATAGGCATATAAATTTCACTCGGGCACACCTAGTAAAGAATAAACTATTGCTGTTCTTTTGTTTTAGAATTTAAGTATTCCATTTAATTTTTTATTTTAATTTAGATATTTTTGTTATTTTAGTACATTATAGGTTTATATTAGTAATGTTCTTGCTTTTCTGATATCGCGAACTTTTTTTATTTTGTTCTTTAATGAAGTAGTGAGCTTAAACTCATCTCTCTGAAGTAAATTTTGTTCCCTACGAATTTACTCTAAACATTTACTGCCTGGGGGCAGAAAATATTTAGGAGGAATTATTTTAGAGAAAATGTATATACTTACAATTTTTTTCTAAATTTGGGGGAAATTACCGTCCTATATTGCATCACTGTGCGTGGGCGAAAATATTCTAGACGCACCCACGCCTAAACCTCCATCTTGCTGATGCCCGCGAAGTTAACATATACCTAGTAAATAAAATTTCTAAAATAAACCAAAAGTAACTGTATATAACATTAGCTATCTCAGAATTAATAGTCCCGTCAAAATGTGTCCATCCATTTCAGAGATTAGAAACAACCAGACCGAGATAACATTTTATTTAATTAAAATTTTGATGTGAGGACCATATATTTTCTTTTTTCATATGCATTTAGTGCAAAGCTTTGAATTTACAAACATACACTTCCATTTTATTTGTACAAATTAAATACATCATAAATTGTTTTATTTTATAGAATTGCCTAGACCTCCTTGATCTAGCAGTTTAGCACGACTTCACTTTCCGACGATCACGGATTCTATTTGGGGATCCGGGCTGCTGGCTGCCACGACATTCCCTATTTTCATATTTGTATTTTTATAATGTATTTCTGTTACCATGGTTTTGTTTATAATCTTGTTTTTACGATCGACATAGTTTGTTCCGCACATATTCTATATGCTTTTCTTTAACACTATCGTTGGTTGCATCGACCCCAGCGTTCTATATACAGTCGTGGGACTGTATATAGGTACAACAAGGTTGTTTATTATATAATTAAGAATACTTGTTTAATATCAATTTATTTTCTATGATAAATTCTTATAAAATAACTACCTGACCAGACAAACGTTGTTTATCTACATAAATTAATATCGTTATTAAAAATTAAGTGTTGGTGGTAGAAGGGTGAAAATTTAAGGTCGTATGTATTTCATAGTGCAAAATTATAAAAAAAAAAGTTACGAGTGGACAACCCTTATCATTTAAGGGTATGAAAAATAGATAGTAGCCGATTCTCAGATCTACTGAATATGCATATAAAATTTCATAAAAATCGGTCAAACCGTTTCGGAGGGGAATAGGGCTAACATTGTGTCACGAGAATTTTATGCATAAAATTTTCGATGGTAATAATAATCGAATTTAATAATCAAAGATCTACAATCAGCATATATTCATGAGTATGTGATGAAGAACATCCATGATTGCATACAGCCATATTTCACAGTTCAATGACCCGGCAATGAATACAGTTC